TCATTGGTTCACTCACTAAGAAAGTAAGAGAACCATAAGGTGTTTTTGGAATCCAAAAAAGGGAATAACAAAACATTACATTTTAACGGATAAAACTTTTATGAAGACACTGAATTATACTGGTCGATTCTCAAAGTTTGAAAATAGAGAGACATTTACTGCAGTAAGAAGGTAAGAGGATGGCAAGGGGTTATTGGAATCCAAAAAAAGGGAATAACTATGCATTACATTTTAACAGTTAAAACTTTGAACAACACATTTGCGAGATTAAACCTTGGAAGAAAACATTACAAAAACACCACAAAAGTATATATCGAATTTGAAACATATAGTTAAATGTTGAGTTAAGTGTTTACATTTTGGTTAGATAAAATATTATATGTTGGAATTTCTATTTAAAGACTAAAAATGTTAACGCCACAACAAGATAAGTTTTGAAAATTTGTACTTTTGATATTCAGGGGTAATGATCGTTGGTTAATTAATAAAACAACTTTGTTGTTTCTGTGCCAAACTTTCAGTACTGCTTAAAAATTTCTTTTCAAATTTTAATATGCTGTTTCTTATTTCTAAACTATTGTCAATTTTGACAACTACGATTACTATTAAAACTAAAATAACTACAAAAAGTGACATGTATGTGGATTTATATTTAGCTCAAAACTACATTGCTCATATATAAGGGAAAAGTCCTGATCTACTGTGTATTCAGTTATATTCGTTGGAATTAATTTTCTTGGATTTAAGAAAAATTTCAAATTTTGTGAATAATTGATTTAGTGGTTATGCCAAAGTCTGCATACAATCCTATCAAAACTTTATACTTTGTTGAACTTTTAAATTTGTGGTTCATCTATACCCACAAAATTCTTGAAAATTGGTACTCAAAGAATATTAATGAATCTACATGTATCCAAAGCTAAATTCAAAACACTACATTAGATTTGATACTGTAAAAATCCCATTACATGATTTCATTGTTATAAAGATCTCTTATTGTACTTGATATTTACTTAGTATCATATGAGTCTATTTTTCCAGTATTGAGTTGTTTATCATATTACACATTATCACATTTTTCCTGTGAGCAACATACCAACCATCATTGCTTTGAATCTAGAACTATTGATATAAGTTTCTTTTTAAATGAATTGAAGTCTTCATGAGTTGTGAAAATAATTGTTGTTGCACTTTTCGTTTAATTACTGATTTCTAATTTCAATTGTATGTTCCTTTCATTAGCCCACTCAAACATGGAAATGACATCAACATTAAGATTTTTTATTTTGTTGGCTACAAAGGTTGTTTTTTTCTGTCTACATATATGTAGATGAGGCCATCATATCATCAGATTAAGGCAGAAGACATTTGAACTTTTATACAGTCTAATGAGCTTAGTAAAGACACATTTTATTGTTCAAAATGACAAATGGATCAGACACAAGTTTTACAACTTAGTATAGTCTTCTCCAATGAGCTTACAGTAACACATTTAATAGACAGTGTTATTGAAGAAAAAAATCAAAATCATTTCATGTACTCATCTAGGTCATAATGTTGAAAGAAACTATTGTTGTAACATATATTTGCAAATAAATGTATAAGAATAATATATGACTTGATGTTTTGCATGCTGTTTGTTGTCATAATTGTTTGCTTAAACTCTAATGAGTAGATATAAGAAGATGTGGTATGATTGCCAATGAGACAACTCTCCATCGAATTCACAATGTGTAAAAGTAAACCATTATAGGTCAAAGTACGGCCTTCGATACGGAGTCTTGGCTCACACCGAAAGGGCCCCAAAAATAACTAGTGTAAAACCATTCAAACAGAAAAAACCAACGGTCTAATCGTTATAAAAAACAAGAAACGAGAAACACTTATGAACCACATCAACAAACGACAACCACTGAACATCAGGTTCCTGACTTAGGACAGGTGCAAACAAATGCAGCGGGTGTAAACGTTTTAATAGGCGTCAACCTTCACCCTAACCTGAAACAAAAGTGTAACATCAAAACATAGAAAGACACACTATAAAATATCAATTGAAATGGCTGAACTCAATCAAAAGACATGTTAACAAAAACAAGTGAACATACACTGAGCGAATAAATTTGATCTATGACACAATGTAAATTCAAAGTTAATCAATACAAACTAGAAAACGTACAGCCTGATTTATGTACAAAAAAAAACAAATATGATGAACAACAACAAATGACAACCCCTCAATTTCAGGATCCTGACTTGGGATAGGAATACATAGAATGTAGTAGGGTAAAACATGTTTGCAGACGCCAAACATATCCACCTTACCTGGGACAGAGGTGTAACAGCACAACATACATGTAAGAATGCGTGTTACAATGGTTTCTTGTTATGTCTGATATATCACAAATTACTAACAGAGTGCATATTTCTTGTTTTAATACATTTTTGTAATTCTGAACAGGAAAGATCTCGTTCTTGTGTCACTCTTGGATCACTAAGTCATTGTTGATCTGCACTTTTTTTCTTTTAAAAAACCCCATTTGCTGTATTAATCCTCACCTTGAGTGAACAACAACAGAAATTACTTTAAAAGATACTAGCTGACCATAAAATTCACCAGTCAAATCAAGTCCTGAGGTTTTAAATTTCTTAATAATAAGCAACATTTACACGAGTTTTAAGTTATTTTAGAATTCACATTTGTTTTATAAATACGTTAAACAGTCTTTGCAAACTAAAAACTGCCGATCATTAGTATTTTACAGTTCATAAGGGTTCCATGTCTATATTTCAGCCGAGTTAAACCCAAAGACTTTAAAAATTAGTATGTCCTGCATCCCCACAAACCTGCTGCTCTAAGAAATAAGCAAAGATTCGTCAGCTTGGAGTCAGAAAAATATGTCATGGTACGTTCACAAGTCTTCCTGGTGGTTGTTACTTTGTGAACTAGCTTTAACCTCGCTGCATTTTTACGCCTGTCCTAAGTCAGGAGCCTCTGGCCTTTGTTAGTCTTGTATGTTTTTTTAATTATAGTTCATTTATGTTTTGGAGTTTAGTGTGACGTCCATTTTCACTGAACTAGTACATATTTTATTTAAGGGCTAGCTGAGGACCACCTCCGGGTGCACGATTTTCTCGATTATGTCCAAGACATACCAAGATGTCGATATCGTCGATATCGACAATGTCGACACAATATCGAATCGATATCGATGAACTTATACACTCATATCATAACCAGATGTAGATTTTGATGACGACACCAATGACAAAACCTGATGTTGATATCGTCGATATCGACAATGTCGACTCGATATCGATGATGACTTAAGATAATGAATAAAAATAAGACATAACAAGCTGATTATATATATAAATTAAGACCGAAGATTGATATAGGGATAGATGATGGCTGAATTGTAATTTATTTATTTTTTGAAAAGACAATCAGGTGGTCACATCTCCAAAGTAATGTACCCTTTAAAACACATTAATGTATTCTTAAAAAGAAAACAAAAGCAAAATGTTTCCTTGTATTACATTGACAATGGCTGACATGGTAATTTTGGTGTTAACTTAGTGAGATATGGTTGAATACAAAGATCTAAAAATGCAGATATAATACAAACATGACTTGCTATGAAAAATTCAAATCCATGGGATGTGAACTGGTTCCCATTTCAAACAGAGAAAATATGGTTTATCTATTGGTTGAAATTAGATTTTAACTTTATTTGAATAGTTTCGAGTACTCTTAGATCTATACTTTGTGATTTTGTCTATTTGATAAATTTTATGTATTGATGCTATACCACCGTCATAGATTTAAGGGAAGTTTTAACGCACAAGTTTAACCTCGCCACATCCTTATTGTGATTGACCCTTCTCGGGAGCTCTTTGATTAAGTGGTTGTCGTCCGTTGCTGTCGGTCATATATGATTTTTGTTTATCATTTATACATAAATCAGGATGTTTGTTTTCCCATTTGAAATATTTGATATTTTGTTATGCCGGTATTATTGTTAATCTTTGTTGTGAAGACTGTTAGGTGACGTATAGCTGTTAACATCGTCATTCTTTTTGTGTATTGTGGGTTGTTGTCTTATTGCAAATCGTGAAACATCCCGTTATCTTAGTGAGTAATTAAGGTACGTAAACTAAACGAAATAAATAGAGAAACAAATTATGAAGAAATTGTTTAAATGTTGATATGGAATTGATATCGTCGACATATGTAAACAGACGAAACAGGAGAAACTAAATTGTTTATATAGATAATTGTAGCAGATAAACATTTAGAACATGTGTCGATATCGACATCTTAAAACAGACGAAGCAGGAGAAACTAAATTGTCTATATAGATAATTGTAGCAGATAAACATTTGGAACATGTGTCGATATCGTCGATATCGACATCTTAAAACAGACGAAACAGGAGAAACTAAATTGTCTATACAGATAACTGTAGGAGATAAACATTTGGAACATAATTTTTCGATATCGACACGATGTCGTCGATACCGTCGATATCGACATCTAAAATAGACGATCTGGGAGAAACTAAAATTGTTTATATTCATAACTGTAAAACAGATAAACATTTGGAACATAATGTGTCGATATCGACTGGATACCGTCGATGTCGTCGATATCGACATCTTTATTAGACGAACCAGGAGAAACTAAATTGTCTTTATAGAAAAATATAGCAGATAAACATTCGGATCATTATTTGTCGATATCGACTCGATATCGTTGATGTCGTCGATATGGAGACTACATAGTGTCTTGGACATACCTCCTGCTTTGAAGACCCATTGGTGGCCTTCGGCTGTTGTCTGCTCTTTGGTCGGGTTGTTGTCTCTTTGACATTTACCCCATTTCCATTCTCAATTTTAGCATGTTAGAAGTCCGGCTCAGCGTGCCGATCTGGTTCAAAGCATGTTTGATATTCATATCTCATTTTCAATATACTAGTAACATTTTCGCGTCCTGATTAAGGGCATCCGATACAGTTTCAAGGGAGGTAACTCTTGGCGCGACGTTCAACGTTCAAATTCCCAAAAACGTTACTTTCGGCGGGACGTCATGCGTGTAATTTTCCTTAATAAACTTCTCCTTCCCATTTGAATGCCATGACGTCATTGTAACTTGAACAGGTTGCAGGAACCGCCATTAAAAATGGTAAACTCCGGGCACTTTCTTAGCCATAAAGAGAAAGAGAGACGAGAAAAAGTGAAACAGTCGAAGCAGAAAACGTCAAATAATTGTCTATCAGAGCATGTTATAAAACTAGCGAAAACAGAAACGGTCACAGTTGATGAGGAGTCATGGAAAAAAGGAAGAAGAATGATAGATCTATTTTATGTAGCCAAACAGCTCTTTTGTCGACAATGCAAGGAGGCACTTGCTCTGATAAACATTACATCAGAAAAAAATATGGGGTATGCAAGCCATTTGTTTATACAATGTGAATGCGGGCAAGTTAATAAGATTGAGACCAGTGAAACACATGTACATGGAAAACGTGGCCCACAGGTGTATGATGTAAACACAAAAGCAGCATTAGGTAATTTAATAATAGAGCTCTTGAATTGATATATCTTAGTTGCTCATTCTCTTGCGATTCCATTCTTTAAATATTTTTTTTAAAAACAACACTGGAACAATATTTAGTATAAACGATTCCCGAATTAATGTTTCTCGAACAAATCAGCTTCTACGTCTTTATAATAGTGCATGTTATTCTTTAAAATGAGAGGAAGCGGTCACAATGGTATGTAGTCAATCTATACAAAGCTCATAATATAACGGCTTTAATTTGAGCTTTCTACATATATTCCATAAAGGTCAACGATTTCGTGATGGCCTCAATAACCAAAATTCGAAGTGATAAACTACTGTGCTGTTTGTGAAAGAGACAGCATCCTACCAACTAAAACAATTTACAGAAAAAAACTAAATAACTAATGAAAAAAATCACCGGGAAATCCTCCTAATGTCTTCACCAATCTGAGTTGCGTGTGTAACTTTTACTATTACAGTACCAGTATGTCTAGCTCTAAATTGCAATTAATCTAAGAAATTAAAAAAATCCACAAGTACCTGCGATATTTCTTACTTATTGCATGAACCCGTGACGAGGTTAAGATAGTTTTATTATATGTAAAATCGGTAACAGAAAGCAAAACACCAAACCGAATCGTATAAAATCATACTGCCCTTACATTGTAATATCGGCGACTGAACATCGAAATAGATTTCCTATAACAAACCCATATACAATTTCCAACAAAAAAGGTTCCTGTATATACCAACAGATCTTTCATTTTTATACCAATTTCTTCTTTTCTGAAATTTATAGGACGATGTTATGCTCCCCAAAGAAGAAAAATAACAGAATCAACTGTATTGTTTTCGTTTTATTCGTCAGTCCGTCCTCCTCCGTTTTCAAAACCAAGGATACTTAGTCTAGTATTCCGAACTCGTGATGAAAATGTATCTGTAAATAAGTATGCCAGTGTCAGCTTTATTGATGTTTTGATTTGAATTAAGTCGACTATAATCTAATTTATGTATATACCTCTATACATGGATATTTAAATTTTAGCAATGATAGATGTTGGCATAGGTGTTCGTCAGCTTTCCAGACTTATGACAATAATGGGTGTCCCTGGTAGTTCTGAAAGAACGATGAAGAAGAGAGAACGCGAGCTGTTTAAACCAATGGTAGATGTAGCACGAGATTCATGTCATGAAGCAATTACAAAGGAATGTTCAGAAACAAGGTAATTATGCATATACCGGGCCGGAATTATTTTTAAGAGTTTAGATTCAGCATATCAAAATAACCATTGCATTCATCTTTTTTTTTATCATTAAAATCGAACAAAAATTTAAATGCACAGTTAAAATCAGTATATCAAATAACCCCAAGAATTCGGTTTTTGAAGAAATCAAATAAAGTTTAATTTTGGAATTAAAGGAGGACCAATTAAAGAACGGGCCGAAATTCCAAAATAAAAGTACACAGTTAGATTCAGCACATTAAATAACCCTAAGAAATCAAGACTTTGAATTTTACCACATTGGAATTGGTCAAGAAATAAGTTGATGTCTTAAGTTGTTGGGTTCACTTCTAATTGTCGCCTATACACAGATTCCCTTTATTCCTGTACGAAGCACTTTAAAAGTACATCGTCTTGAATATGCATGAAATAATTGCCACTGGACATCAAGCAATCATCAATCAATCAATCCCTAAAAACTCCACGTAGCTCATAGTTGGCATTAAACGATTTTGCCGCTATATCCAGTTTTGCTGACAATACTAGTCTTTTTTTATATACTACGTAGAATTTATAATTAGAATTATAAAACCAATATAATCAAACATAATAATGTAAAATTAATTATCTTTTAAGAATTGCAACTCCAGGAAAAGGCCACCGTTTCACAAAAGGTCGTAGATCGTGAAATAGGTCGTACGACCATGTTGACGATATGCGACCGTTTCACAAATATTTACGATTTACGATTTACGATAAATATTGGTCGCAAATTCCCGACTGGGTATAAGCAGTCGTAAATCGGAAAGTTTGCCAATAGCGGGGAAATATGTGTCATGTCATGTAACAATGGCTGCATTTTTACTTTAGCTTTACGCGAACATCTAAAAGAAAAATTACTTCAAGAGATAAAGGAATCATTACACCGCGAGTTTTTGAGATGTAAAATTTTACAGTAAATTGTTAATTGAATAAATTGATGAACGTACAGAGGGTTACGATAATGGAATTCGTAGACTTGCGAGATGTTCAATTGTCAGTCTAACATTAAGAAGTCATGCAATTCCAGCCCTTCTGCGGTTGTTACATCCTTTTATTTTTGAATAATTTGAGCTCCTACCATTCTGTCCCAACAAACAATTTATCTCCCTTGAAAGACTTTAAGTGGTTGTCGTTTGTTTATGTGTTACATATTTCTTTTTCGTTAATTTTTTGTACATAAATTAGGCCGCTAGTTTTCTTGTTTGAATTGTTTTACTTTGTCATTTCGGGGCCTTTTATAGCTGACTGTGCTGTATGGGCTTTGCTCATTGTTGAAGGCCGTACGGTGACCTATAGTTGTTACTAGTAATTTCTGTGTCATTTGGTCTCTTGTGGAGAGTTTTCTCATTAGCAATCATACGACATCTTCTTTTTTATATTCAAAAATAAGAAACAAAACGATAAACGGTCATGTATTATGAAACGTGTTATTCATCTCACGATTGAATATTTGTTGAAAGTCTTTACTCTTTTTAAAATACATGGATTGTACTCCTTATAACAAATGCTCAGTAGTGCCGGAGAAAGGTCCAGACAATGAAATTTGAACATTGATATTTGAACAAATTAAGTTTAAAATGCACAGAGATAAGAATGTAGAGATGTGGGTGATACGTCAAAGATACAACAATCATCAAAACTAAAAAAAAAAAAAAAATCTCCTGTATTTGTTTATCCCACGAGGTCAACATCTGAAAATCGTTAAATTGGAATATTTTGTATATACATTTTTCAACATTTTTCATATGTCTTGAAGACTTTAGAAACAAAATTGCGAAGAGGTAAGGACAACAATTTCCACTGAATTTATTTCACATCATGGCAATCTTGTTACAAAAAGTCTTCTTCGATCTTTTTTTTTTTGGCTCATCCCGACAGTGCAGATTAAAGGATATACTCCACGGCTCCTGTGTAAGTTTTCTTGTTTAGTAAATAAAGGGGAAAATACGCTTAAAAAGTTTCGTTGTAAAAGGTTGTAGCTTTTAAAATGTTACTAGTGACTTTTTTTTTATATTTCAGGCTTTCTCTTAGATTGTTACATTATTTGGAGAATTGCATTTAATGCCGATCTTTAATTGTTTCTATTAAATTTATTCACAATTTTTATATAAATTCGTGACGATTTAGAACTTGTCTAATGTTGAATACTATATGTTGCCCTCTAAGTGTGTTTATGTGGTTTCTTCTTGTTTGATTGCTGTCTTATTGACGTTTAACCCCTATGGTATCGACTCCGTTCGGTCCCATAACACGTTGTCCCTAGGTTCGTTCGCATCCAATTTTTATGTCGGTATTGCCCGGTCAGTGGCGGATTCAGGGGGGGTGCAAACTAGGCAACGTTATGCGGGGCCATGTAAAAAGTCTATGAATTAACCATACGTGTAGCTTCATAATGGGGGCCCAGGCCCCTTGTCCCCTTGCAAATCTGCCTCTGCTTCAAATCATCACTTTTATAAGCATTGTAAAGTTTAAATCTCAACCAACTTTCGTTATCCAGTATGACGCAGACCTGAGCTTTTTTGTGGCGAAGTCCTTTATTGCAAGTTCAATGAAAAAGATGCAACTAACTAGGTAAGCCAGATAATATCAAAGAGAAATGTTTAAACAATCGTAAACATTACAAACAAAGCATTTTTATTACTTTAATTTGTGTTTAAAAAAAGTGAATCATAATATAATTTATCAAAGTTTCAAAATGTTTGCTTTCTAAACTTTTTCCTCACTTAGCTCGTTACTGATGACCTTTGTTTTTGCAACACTTGACCCAAACAAGAAGTTGTCTAAGTGACTGTTTTTTTTCCGGATTGGTCTAAAGGTAGCGATAAGGTACGTGTATTGTCCCTCCGGTTGAGTCAACCTTATAAATCAAAGCGACAAATAGTTTTAATAATTAAATTATTTTTCTTTTCAAGTAAAAAATACTCAGAATATGTAAAAGTTCGGAACAAAATACCGGGCCGGTTGCAGAAGACTTTGAGAAAAAGACCATCGCCGAAAACAACTGAGCGTTTTGTTTAGATTTTTATAATGAGTAAACATGTAAAGTAAACAATTTTTGCAAGTTAGTTTGTCCCAGTCCCAGATTTCTTTTGGAAACAAATAAAAAAAGTGGAGAAATGTTACAAATCTATGAAATGCAGTAGATGGAAATACCTTTTTAACACCTTTCAGTAGGTTGTCGGAATCAGGACAACTGACCAAAGACAAATCGGACCAAGACATCTCGGACAATTTTAAGAAAACTCGGACCACTTTCAAAGACAACTCTGACCAGTTTGAAACACTGTTCAGACCAGTGTTTTGTCTAGATTTGACTGAAGTTGTTTTATACGTATACATATATAACATTAAAATTAAATCGAACATTTGAAAGTATAGACCCCTTGATAATTTTGTTTAAATATTCTTAAGATTCTTATGTTATCTTTTAAAGTACACGTATGTCTGTAAACCCAATATTAGATTTAATGCATGTCAAAACATTAAGCGATGAACATTTACATTTTTCTTTAGAAATAAAGTAGTTATTACTATATATATATAAAAATATTAATTTTCGCGAACCATTTAGGTCACGGAAATTCCATTTTTTGCCATCAGTAAGGAGAGTTGTACAAATAATGTGAATACACAGAACCCCGATCCAATTCATCTTTTGCTAAAAATATTTATCATTTTCTGTTTTATATCTCCTAACATCATTTCATTTTTCTCTAATTTCGATTAAAATATGCCAAAACCTGCAGTAAAAATAGATGTATGCCCCAAATAAACATTCCCCGATTGGTTGAACTACTATGGCGTCGATGTAAAGCAATGCAAGCCTCGATGTAAAGCAACGCAAGCCTCGATGTAAAGCACACGCTTCCCAAGAGTAAGGAGAGTTGTACAAATAATGTGAATTCACAGACCCCCGATCCAATTTATCTTTTGCTAAAAGTGTTCATCATTTTCTGTTTTGTATCTACCAACAACATTCCATTTTTCTATAATCCCGATTTAAACATGTCGAAACCTGCAGTAAAAATAGATGTATGCCCCAAGTAAACATTCCCCGATTGGTTGAATAACTGTGGCCTCGATCAAGCACACGCAAAAAATTCCGTTGATATGTTGAACTTCGACCCCGGGATTCAGCCGAGGTAACCTTCAGCCGATTCACATAGAGATTTTCTTGCGCTCAAATGTAATTCTAAGTGAAGTATACTGGTAAAGTAAAATTATATTCTTTTACAGAAATATTTACACATTTTATCATTAATGTATTGTCATGCTTCTGCATATTTACGCTGAGCTTTAGTTAAATATAATTCTATACAAATTTTGTTACGTCAAGCATTAAGAGTAAGAATATATTTCGCGCCAAAACAAGAAAATAATCTGTGTCACAAAATAAGTTTATCAGCATCTTTCTGAAATTATCCAACAGAAAATAGCGTTAATTATAGAGAAACTTTGGTGAGTATTACTTATTAATGTTAAGGTTCTCCAGAGGTGGTTCTCTACATCTTCTTGGTGGTCAATTTAATGGGCTATTCCAGAAATAAACCATCCCCCCCCCCTATGGAAGACATCAGTTGTGAAAAAAAAAATCCATGGAAATATTTTTCACCATTGCCAGAATTTTCTGGAATTCCAGCATTTGAAATTATAATACTACTTAAAAATCCTGGAATTTTTTTCATGATGCTGTCAATATGTCAGGAAATTTGTATTTTATAAAAAAATATATTACATCATTCTCGATTTTAATCCTTTTTCAATTTAACATTTTGCACGCCAAACGAGTGTTTCGTTTACAAAGTAGTCATCAGTGACGCTCGAATGAACAAGGATATCAACTGGATCCGATACTACAGTTCTTCTCTACTTTTTATATTTAAACCATATTCTTTTCGGAGTCCTATATAAACGTTTCTAGGATTATTAGGTGAAAATGTTTCCAACGTTGTTAATACACTTAACCGTTCTCTTTCAAACTTGTTACTTAACATTGCTTGTTCATAAAAATCAACCGTTTCCTTTTCAGCCTGTTCGAACGAAAGACGTGGGCTTAAAACCAAGTTTATGCTTTGCTTTTTCACAGCATATTGGACCTCTTGTAACGGACGGAAATAAGTGAACAACATCTTCATTGTCAGACACTTGAATATCAATATCTTGCTTTTCCATATATTTTTTCATCATTTCAAGAACTTCTGGCAGCGTTGGCGTCTCATCAAAAGCAAAGTTGTATGCTTCGTCTAAAAGGTCTTTGTCATAATTCAAACTTTGTGATACAATTTTTGCAACGTCTTCAACATAAACGAAGCTCATCGGAAAGTTAACAAGATTTTTCGGAATAGATATTTCTGTCTCTAAGTATGGTGATAATCGCAACCAAGCCTGGTATATCCACCAACGGTACGTGTTATCACGTGATCCAATAACATCCGGCAATCTGATGAAGAAGTATGGCATCCCACCTTGCTTTCTCTGTTCTACCAAAACCTCTTCCCCTGAAAATTTCCGATGTCCGTAATCATCTTTCTTGTTCAAAATCTCCTGCTCTGGTATATCACCCGGTCGTACAGAATCGGTCTCTACCGTTGGCCGAGTATGGTTTTTCGTGCAGACCTCGTATACAGAGTCAGAACTGATGTAGATATAACGCCCTACTCGTCCTGCAATTAAAAAAATCATATTTGTGCACGCCAAAGACACGTATTTAATAGCTATTTTTTTGTCAAATGCTTTGCATATGGCAACATTTTCTGCATTTAGTTGGTTTGCATGTATTAAAAGGGGGGTTCCTTTTTGTTTGACAACTAATGCTTTTGTAACGGGACTTAAGGTTGGACCCCCCCCCCCCCCCCCCCCTACCTTTTAAAATGGCTGGATCCGCGCCTGAAGTTTGAAGGTTTATTGCAATTATCATAAATTTTGTTATCCATGTTTTTAATTGACTTTGATACGAGTCTTTATAACTAATATAGATATATAGATTAAAGGATAAATGTGCCATGTACATAACAAACTAAGATCTCGATGCAAGTTACCGGCGGAATTAGTCAGTGTTGCACCTCATCCTTTTATTATTTTTTTTTTATTTATTGAAATTCACTGGATATATTTATTACATTGGTTGCAATAAATTACCTTGCCTGATTTCTCAGTGAAATAAAAACCGATAATTTCACATGTGAAATGATACATTATAAAAAAGATAAAATTGAGAACAGAAATGGGGAATGTGTTTATTATATGACCTAAAATAGTATTGAGGTTCTTTTCATCCGAACAGAACCTCCGTAAAAATATGAAGTCGACTTACCTTGCAGAAGTTTCAATGTATCCTTGATCATATACGGATCAAAACCACTGAAATCTACAATTGCATCATAAAAATCATACTGTTCTGCACTCCAGCAATCCATTAAACTTTTCATTCGATCACATTTCAAATGCTTTATCCGTGGCTTGATAGTATCGTCAGTGTCCCAGTACCAGTTTCCTCTGGTAACCAAAGTCAAATCGTGTCCATTTTCTAGCATTTTATTTACGCTGGCTGCACCAATAAGACCATTTCCACCAAACAGCAGCACCTTTTTAACACCACCCGCGTTAGTCCAAAGAACAAGAGAGAAGAGTATTATAAATGATATCAATAAGCCCATGATTTCTAACTGAACAATACTTTCGTGTCTCCACTTTTAAAAACAAGATAAATAAAGTAAATGGCCTTGATGTTCAGTAGTTGTTGTTTGTTGATGTGGTTCATAAATGTTTCCCGTTTCCCGTTTTTTATATAGATTTTCCTGTTTGAATGGTTTTACAGTTAGTAATTTTTGGGGCCATTTATTATAGCTTGCTGTGCGGTGTGAGCCAAGGCTCTGTGTTGAAGACCGTACTTTGACCTATAATGGTTTACTTTTATAAATTGTGAAGTGGATGGAGAGTTGTCTTATTGGCACTCATACGTACCATATCTTCTTATATCTATTAAGAGATAGAATGTGTTGAGATTTTTCAATTTTAATATAAAACATGATCATATTACAGGTGTAAATGATAACATTAATATTTGCATTGATCCCTGGTTTGCAGTAATACTAGATTACAAGGATCATCACCATCTTAAGGGACAACCAATTGATTTTCTTGGGTGGGAAAAAAGTGGGGGGTAGGAGGATTTTGAAAATGAATATCCCAGTCTGGAAGGACCTGATAAAATATTGCCCAAAACCGGATAAAAATGAATTATCTGCAACACAAAAATGAAGGAATTTTTTTATGTGTACAAAACTTTTTGTATGTTGATTTGTACCAAAGTCAAGTCGAAAAAAAAACCAACTTGCATAGCATTAGATTAAACTGCAAAAAAATCATCCTGTCCACCACTGTCATATCCCATGCAGTATCTTTTCTGTGTCTTGTATATATAATATTGGTAAGAGATTGGCAAATGATAGGGTTTCCATTTCATAAAAATGTTTAAAGTTTGAATGTTTTCTGTAACTTAATCAGTAAAACCAGTATCATGAGTATGTCTATTCCTTATCGAGACAAAAGACTGACCTTTCGTATGGGAGGTCTGGGCATGGAAATGAAGGAATGGGCAGCGGGAGAAGAAAAGGGGGGTAAAAATGGGATATGTTGGAAAAAATATTCTGTCCGATTTTCGTCTGGGAGCAAGGGAAGGGAAGAGGGACTTGGGTTATGGAGAAGTGGGAATAAAGGACCCCCTAAACCCCCCTCCTATGGCCTTTTCAGCTACCGGTTTAGTGTGTCGTCTGCTTGAAATCTACGAAAGTTACCCGGGATTGTTTTACCAGATGATTAAAGCAGCAATAAAAAGGAGACATAACACATATTTACCCGTGAGGCTATCATTTCAACCTTTTCTCGTACAACCAGCACGTCCTACTTTTATTAACTGTACAATCGAGAATCCAAAAATCGTTTATTTACGAACTGACAGGTGCGTGTTGATTCCATTTTCAGACCTTCACATAAAAGAGCTTTGGGACAGAGGTCGGTAATCGGATGTCGGTGCGGAGAGATTCCGAAACGTTTGTGAAACACTCGTTAACTTGGTCGGTAAATTATTATTTTTAAATACGTAGCCTGGGTGAGCAGACAATTTCTCTAAGTATTGGTAAATATCTTTAAGTTTGCGATATAATTTAATATCTAATATCTGTTGTTTCAAATTTGTTTTCTTTAAATATTGTAACATCCAAATATTGTATTTGGTTAGTAGAGATTTCATGTGTACATTTCTCTGATGCAAAAGGGGCATAATAAGTAAAACATCCTAATTTAAGGACCTTAGATCTTGTAAGGAGATGATTTCAGTCATATTGTCATATTTTTTAAGTGCTTCTGTCTATCCATTTTATCCATTTTAGTTTTCAAGATAATAATCAAACATTCTAGTGCATGATGAAATACAATGACAGTTAAACAACAATGGATGTCAATTGTTCATATGAGGGGAAAGGGCAAATGAACTTAAAAGAAAATCCTATAACCTTGTTTATATTTAATGCCGCAACAGTTGACTTCTGGTTACATATACTGTATAATTTGAATTTGAAATTGCAAGTTAGAGGCAAGTTTCATTAAACTGATGTAAATAATTAAACATCGTATTGTTCGAATTTGTATCTTAGATGTACGATAAAAGTCTGGGAAGTCGCACTCTAGAAAGAAAACTAATATAGACAGAAACAAACAATGACTGAATTACACGATCTTAACATTGGACAGACGCATCAACAACTTGGGAGGGTTAATATAAAAATAAGAAAATGTATATATGAACATGTATGTAAGCGCTCAGCGTCCTGAAATAGAGATCTTGTAATTGAAAAATATAATTGTGTAATTGAGTCATTTCTTAATACTAGTAACATGTCACTAATTAAGGCTCTCCGAATGAAGTTTGCCAAAACAACTTTTATGTATTTGTATACTAGTTGTTTAGGTAACGTCACACTTGAAATGCCATGTAATAAATTTTGATTTTATTGGCGCCCTTATTGATTAAGCTGTGGGACAGCTATTTCATATACTAATAAGAAACAGATAACTCTGTCTTCATACTTCTTTGATATAATTCTTGAAGTCGTTTAATTGCTATAGGTAATTTGTTCAAATTACCAATTCTTGAGTAAGAATTGTATATTTATTTAAATTTTTGGCTATAAATTTTCTGTTTAAAGGTTAGGCATGAAAACACTTCTGATCAAAATCATTTAGTTGAGTTCGATGAAGTTGATCCAAGAAAGTATTTAACAACTCGAAAGTAAAACCTTTGTAAACTATGCAGAAAAAAAAATATATAAATATTCAGACATCTGAAACTTTTATTTATGCATATCTGTTGCAGTAAAATTGGTAACGTTATCTTTTAATGAGGGCCAAACCTGATTGGCTCATATCTTTGTAGAAAATGCTCAAAATGTTTTCGGATTAACATCATTTCTGTTTAAAAGGATTTTGAATTAATTTAAGGAACAATAATGATAAAAACTTAGGGGCGGGGTGGTATAAAAAGTATAATTATTCATTTCTTTGTTCTAGGAAATGCTAGTTTCGATTCACTTAAGAATTGAATGCTTCTTTTTGTAAATTTATTGGGGTGTAACAGCGTTGTGCGCACGGTCAACGCTATTACAACCCTATAAAATTACTAAAACTAAAAATTTCTATATTTTTCTTTCTTTTATTTACCTGTGCACTTTATTGTGGACACTCGTATCTTGTTTTTTTCCCCTTCAATTTTGATCCATTCCCACAGAGTTTGTAAAAAACATGAATAGTGTAGCTGCTTGAAATTTCATCCACATAATTGTAGTATATATGAATACGCAAACGATTGAAGATTAAGAAAAAACACAAACCTGGGAGATAATTCTAGATTTTGTTTTTCTTTATTTTCACTCAGGAATATCACATTTCATGTTTCTTTGTTTGTCACCATCTTATATAACACTTAATAATAATAATAAAAAGAAGAAGAAGAAGAAGAAGAAGAAGAAGAAGAAGAAGAAGAAGAAGAAGAAGAAGAAGAAGAAGATGATGAAGAAGAAGATTTTGATCTTTTGACCTTATGACCGTTGTTATGCCATTGGTTGCCGATGTCATTGCAAAAGATTCCATTGGGGTGTAGGACCTTTAGTTTTAGAGTTAAAGCTAAGAATGTCTTCAAAGTTGCGCCTTTATAACGAAAACATATTCCACTATTCGAGACATATGTTACTATAACGGTTAATAACAAGGTATAAAGTATAAGGTCAAGGTTACCTTAAAAATTGACCTTGAGGTATTTTCCAGTTCACATTGAATGATGATCATGAGGTGAAGAATGGCTTACCGACATCGGGTATATAATTATCAAAGGAGCACTTTAAATATTTACGATCAAATGTAATGAAGGATCAGAGAAAGGTCCTGATCAAATTCCATCTTTTGTTTTTTGTTTGCATACAATAAGAAGTTGTTTTTTTAGGGCAGATAATATCTGACTATGCGGTACAAGATTTGTTCATTGATGAAAGCAGTACGGTGACCTATAGTTGTTAATTTCTGTGTCAATTGATTCTCTTATGGAGAGTTGTCTCATTGGCAATCGTACCACATCTTTATTGTTTTGCAATATCTTTATTTTTAGTATGTAGTTTTTTGTGGAATGTATATATTATTTCCGTTTTGTTTTCCTTTCTTATATAAAATTTGAAGATGTAACTACGAAAAAACAGTTCTTCTAAGAAGCAGCCTCCAAAAATACATAACACACCATCCCAACCAACAACAAAAAAAAGTAAATAAATAAAAAAAATACGGATATAAAAGATAAAAAAAATCAAAGCTCGAACCTATTTTTGAAAATGTAACTATGTAATAGCGCATTAGTAGATCTGCAGTACATTTATATATCATTTATGCATTAGAATACAAAAATGTATTTACGCTATATATGCAATCTGTACATTTTTTTTTAGATGAGAGAACATACATCTTTAATCAATAAAGATCACTTTTAAAAGTACGAAATTTTATATAGGTGTGCAACGTAAGGTTTATTTAACACAAGCAGCTGTTTCCTTGTTTTATCAAGGAAAACAGCAAATGGATTACTTAAACCATTTTTATCGTTCAGTATTTCTTTGTATTGTTTTCCATCCGGATATATGACGAGAACATTACACGAACGTTCCCCAACGACGAAAACATTTCCTTTGTCGTCTACAGAAATTCCTCTGGGCATCTGTAAAGCTTCTTTGTCATTAAACACCCATACTGACGTTCCATCGATTAAACAGCAATATACTTTATTTATGTACGGATGTGTATAGAAAATTTTGTCAACATATGTTGAGACGTACGAATACCATGGTGAGAAAGTGTTTGGTATTGTAGTAAGACTGTAGTCTGTGCATGATATCACATGTAACTCTTTCTCTTCAACACAGCATATCAATGATTTACCGTCAAATGTAATGCCATACGGATCGCCAGGTAGGTCAATGAACTTTATTACTTTTCTCTTGGACAGGCCAATAAAGCTGATACCTGATGAGCGTTGTCCTTCGTGTTCTTCGGGTGACTCGCCAGTAGTTACCGCTACTATGTTCTCATTTAAACGCTCTGCATCAAAGACTGTATATGAGTTGGGAAGTTGGATGGTATAATCAGTTTGACCTTTTGCGTTCAATATTACTAGCTTTTTATTCGAACAATGAGCATCCGTGAAAATGAATCCCCCTGCTTGTGTCATAGAACATCCCCAAGACTTTTGACATGTCGTATCAAACTTCCTTTTCAAATCAACTGAAATGGTCGTTATTGATTGCAATCTGTCAGGTATTAACATTTGAGCTTGTATTGTTTTCTTTTTTACCAAATTGATCTTAGCAGATGGACTTTCCTTGATTGAAATTGCTCCAAATTTCTGGACCAAGGTAAGAATGTCCTGTAGTCTATCATCTATTGACAATTGTATATCAACATTATCCAGACTTTTATTCTCAATCATTGACTTGAGTCGCTTTTCGCTATCGTTTACTTTTGACTGGATGTCTCTCATACCAAGAAAGGTTTGGAGATCGGAAGCATATTTTCTTAACTTCTCAATTTCCTTGCTACAAAGTTTCATCTCCTTCTCTTGACTTTTTAAATTAGATATTATTTTCTTAATGTTATTGTTATGACTTAGACATACTTGTTCGAGATCTTTTATAACATTTTCTTTGAGTATGTCAAGATGTTGGTTTATCTGTGTTTTTGTTTTGTCAATTTCCATGATAATTTCTTTCTTCTGGGTTTGAATAGATTTAATGTTAATCTCTCTATCTTCTCGAATTCGCTTGATGTTTTCAAATACGTCTAACATACTTTGGTCTAGATCTCGAAACAGCTCTGACGATTTCACATCGCTTACCACGTCATCTAGAAGGACGACTTCATCGCACTTTCCGTGCTCCTTAATACATTTGTAGCAGATTGGACATTCGTGTTCCGTACAATATTGTTGGAACTTCTCATTGTGATAAATACAAAACTGTTGTATATCGGTTACGAATGTAGGTAAAGATT